TTATCTGATTGTGCTCATGTCAAAGATTTTTGTCAGTTGAACTGTTTGGTAAAAATTGTCAGAAGAAGTACACAACTGGGACTGGTGAGATAGTTCAGCAGACTAAACTGCCTGCTTAGGCAAGTGCAGGGAGTGCAGTTTGATCCCCAGCACCATGGCCACAGAGTCCCGGTATAGTGGCATGGGCCTGTAATCCCAGCGCTGGGGAAGCTGAAAACAGGAGGATCATGGGTCAGAACTGCATAGTAAGACCCTGTAACAACCAAATACATTTTTAAAAAAAAGAAAGAAAAAGTACACATCTAAAATTTAAAAACACTAATTTCAAGTACATAATTTGGCCTCAGAAGTATTCCAGAGTTCTTTAAACTTGGCCCAACTTAGAGAATCATAGGTTAGTAAAATTTGGTGTAAATGAATGCATATGATGACCTAATATTTTAAGTTGAATGAATTAAAATTGACAAATTTCCCTTTTCACTTGAATCTAATAATTACTAAAGCTTTCTGAGATAGTCTGGATGTTAACCATCATTATTTTTATTAAAAATGTTCACGATGCAGTTTTAAGTGGAAGGAAAGGAGGTTAAATTTTCTGTTAATGTACAATTATGCAAAAATTTAACTTGTGCATAAAGAAAAAGATTAGGAAATGCAAGGTCCTGAGTTTGATGCCCAATACAAAAAAGAGAAAAAGATTGGGAAGAAATAGACCATTGTTCACACAGTTGTCATTTATGGAGAGAACATCAATAATTCATTTTTTTCCTTCCACCTTCATTATTTTCCAAGTTTTCATGAGTAATTTTTTAATCTTAAAAATTTCAGTCATTGGACACATATATACATGTTTTGTATGATTGCTCTTATGAAAATAAATTTTATACATTGCTTTTTATTTATTTTAATTTATTTTATTATTTTTTTTATTTTGTTTGTGTGTGTGGCCAGCTCAGCCCACCAGGGGGCAGGGCTGGCTGGCATGTGGTGCTGGGGGATTGAACCGAGGTGCTTTAGACCACTGAGCCATCTCACCAGCCCCTATACATTGCTTTTTAAACTTATAAATGTTTCCATAGTTCTGCGGCTTTTAAAGTTATTTAAGAAGCTGATAATTAATCTTTCTGGAAGGGTGCACAAGAAACTATTAATAGTAATCGTACTTATCTCTGGGAATGGTGACCTACCTTTATATTTTGGCTATTTGTGTTTTTTTTGTATTTTTGAAATGAGTATTTATTATTCTGATCAGTCAATCAATATCAGGGATTACATATTTTATCTAATGTGTTATAATTCTAAAACTTGCTTATTTTAAAGCATCATATATTTTTACAGTAGTACCTGTAAATGCTATATTCCAAAACCTCCCTGGGGGACCAGGGAGCTAGCTCAGTGGCTTAAGCACCTGCCTGGCAAGTGCAAGTTCCTGAGTTTGGTCCCTGGTACCAAAAACAAACAAGCAACAACAAACCTCCTGGTTTCCTCAAATGAAGGGCAGTACTGACCCATGTATGTACTGTCTTTTCCTTTTTACACACATACACAAATTTGATGGCTTTTCCGCCTCAGCTGAGCACTTATGCACTGTGACTGTAGCTTTTACAGCTTGAGACATGACAGCAAAACTAATGCTTCTTTTTCCTTCACAGTTTCACAGACAGAAAATTCATTCTTACGGTAGGGCTTAGCGATTTCAGCATATGGTTGCTTTTTTTTTCCCCCCTTTCCTTACTAAGTTGAGAATTTCCCTTTGCACTTGGAGGAAGCACTTCACAGCTTCTTTTTGGCAGATCCAAATTGCCAGCACGACTATTTTTGTGGTGTGAGTCATTATTAAGTAAAAGCAGAGTTACTTAAATGCAAACACTGTGCTGCTGTGATAGTGGTCTGGTAACTGGGACACTTGGAGCGCGAGTAATGGACAGGTCGTAGGCACAGCACAGGTGCACTAGGTGAGGGAAGAGTCTTTGCCCACTACAGCAGGTGAAGACAACAAGGTTTTCTCATGCTCAATCAAGATTTTCTCTGTACTCAGAGAACAGTACAGCTTAAAACTTGCAAATTGTTTATTTCTGGAACTTTCTGTTAAATATTTTGGGACCACAGTGGATTATGCATAACTGAAACTGCAGAAAGCAAAACTGCAGAGGAGACTCCTATACTTACTGAGTCTTGGTTTACTAAAATAGTAAAATTTAACTAATTCAGTAATTTCCCTATGGAACTTTTTTTTTTTTTTGGCTCCGAATGCCTTCAGGCAAGTTTGGCTGGCTTGAGTTGTGGGGATCTAACCACAGCAACCTGAGCCTGACTGCTCTGTTGAAGCAGCCACTTAAAGAACTAAGCTAAGGGGCAGGCCCCCAATAATTTCCTTACGGATACACATTTAAGACAGTCCTAAGTGTTCACTGTTACAGAAAATACTACAGATATGTCTTCCAGTATCTTATTTTTCTCTTTTGAATCATTAATTTAGAGTATTCAAATAGATATGTATGGCTTAAAGACTAAATTAGTTTGGTTACCTATCACCATTTGGGAGGATTTGGGGTTTTTTTTGTGGTACTAGGGATCAACCCAGGCCCCAGCTTAAGCTAGGCAAATACTCCCCTACTGAGCTACATCTCTAGTCCCTTACTGTCATTTTGAGTTCTGAAATGCTTAAATCAGTTTATTGTGTCGTGCGAATATAAGGGTGTTTGAAATGATCATGACTAAGTGTTATACAAGTGTTAGATAACTAAAACTTTCTGAGCCGAAGTTTTAAAATTTGAAACATTTCAGATTTTGGATTTTGGATTAAGGATGCTCGATGCAAATATTCCCAACTATCTGTAGGACCAGTTTTGTATATGTGGATTGCAATGATAGTTTATATGAATCGATGAAGAACATCTAAAAACTTTAAAAATCTTTTCCTCCTCCCATTCCTTTTATAAATAGAATCAAGCTATAGAAGTCACCTGGGGTCTCCAGCCTGTATTCTTGAGCTGGGTGGAAGGCAGGCATTTTAATGACCAAGGTGAAAATGTGGCTGAAATTAACAGACAAGTTGGTCAGAAACTTGGACTTTCAAATGGGGGACAGGTAAGCACTAAATATGATGACAGTGACTTTCTTCTGATGTCGCATAATATAGTAATGGAAATAAAAGCTCAGATTTTTAAAGGAATTGAGATGGCACCCAACTTACATACTATTATAACCAGTCTGGGATATTCAAATTGACTATGAACTTTGTTACTAGGTCAGTATTTTGCATTCTATTTACTTTTTCACTTTCCTGTTTCTCTGATTTTGGTTTTTATGAAATCATTTTTTTCCTTTATTACTAGGTTTTACTTACTATTACTGAACTTAATTTCATTTGTTTCTCACATAATTTTTAATTTCCTATAACCTTACTTAATTAAAAATATCTTTCTTGGGGGCCAGGGAGATGGCTCAGTAGAATAAGCACTTCCCTGGCAAGTGCAAGGGCCTGACTTCAATCCCCAGTTCTGCCCAAAAAAAAAAAAAATCTTTCTCTGTATGGTCATCTCTCAATATCTGTGGGAGCTTGGTTCCGAGATCCCCATGGAATCTACAGTCTGTAGCAGTTTGTGTCCCTTATATAAAATGGTATTAAGGATGCTCAATTTGGATTAAGGATGGTAGAGCATTTGCATGTATATAAATAGTTACATTGTTTAGGGAATAATGACAACCAAAAACACTGTGCATATTCAGGACAGACACAGTTATTTTCCCAAGTGTATTTTATCCACAGTTGATTGAATCTGTAGAGATACAGGAATGACTGTTTACAAACAATATGGGTTGAATACTCCCTGTAAATATTGATCCTCTATTGTAACAGTGTCACTAAAACACTGTCTCCAAAGAATCATTAAGGGGAACAGAAATGGTTGGCCTCGCCCAGGAGCCCTCAGATTCTCATTGAGCAGGAGCAGCTCTGTGCTACCTCAGAGTCCTTTATATGCAGGTTTGCTATCCTTACTTGAAATGTGTAGAGCCAGAAGCATTTTAGATTTTGGAGATTTTTAGATTTAAGAATATTTACTTTGGCTATACTGGTTGAGCATCCTTAATCCAAAATTTGAAATACTCAACAACTTAAAACTTATACTCAAAGTTTCAGATTTCAGAACATTTTAACTTCAGATTTTTTAATTACTCAACCTGCAGACATGGAATGAGATACTTAAAAATCAAATCATCAGGACTGTGGGACTTGTACTCCTACAGGTTTGGTGGGGGAGATACATTGCTCTGTTACCAGTTTCTCACAGCAGTACATCTGGGTACGCATCTTTTCGACTTGTTCTAGATACAGACTTTACATGTGTGTAGGTAGTGAGAATGGGCCATTCCTGAGAAATCTATAAGCCTCCTTTTGTCTTGCTTACCTAGATTTTTGCTAGAATCTTATATTTGCTTAGAACCACACAGCAGTACAGTTTAGCTTGCTTTGAGTCTGTGGCCACTCCCTGTAGGCCACATCAGCTTCTTACTGATTTTGATGTCTTAATTTGTACCCTAAACAATCTTACTTCCATTTGCTTTTAAGTGACTTTTCCCTGATTGCCTAAAGTTACTTTAATAGGATGGAAAGTAAGCTTGCTGCAGTCCTTCACTTTTTCATAGGCAGGAACTGCTTTGTGCTTCCTTCTGATCATGTTCTTTTGAAGTAGAGGATAAGGCAGATACTGAGAGCAAATTCACAGAAGTAGAGAGGTAAGGGCTGCTTACCTAAATGGCTAACACCAGTGGCCTTTTATCGCCTTAAGCTTCAGAAATGTCTGTTGAAAAGAAGAGAGAATAAGATGGAGCACTCCAGCTATTGGGATATACTAGCATTTCATGTGTCTGCAGAACAGAGTGAGGCTGTATCTGCTTCATTTAGCTGTATGAAGGATATGCTATAAAAAATGGTCTCTGTTCTTTATGTCAATATATTTTTCACTTACAACATTTTTTTTTAACAGCAACATGGCTTGAAGTTAGTTATAAAGCTAATAATTGTAAAAGTTCTAAAAATAGAATATAAACTCAAGAGATGATTTGATAGCTCTCATTTTTCTTACATATTAAAGTTTATATTTCATTTTAAAATGATTATCTTTAGAGCCAGCCAGATTGCTCAGCAGACTGAAGCACCTGCTTAGGCAGAGTGCAGCAGCTGGGGTTCAGTCCCCAGTGTGCCGTGCCAGCTGTGCCCCCAGGGCTCTCTGAGGCGGCGATTGAGACTGGACCTGATGATGTGCACCTGCAATCCCAGCGCTTGGGAGGCTGAAAATAGGAGTATCACTACAAGTCCAATCTACGTAGTGACACCCTGTAGACCCTTTCCTAAATACATAAAAATAAATAAAATAAAATGATTGTTTTTATTTTTGAAATGCACCTGCTAGGATATGTGTTTTCTGTATTCTATAATAGGTTGTGCAGCAGTTTTTTCCAAATTGCTGAACATGTCTAGGCCTAGCTAATCATGAGCACTTAATATTTGTTGAATGAAAGACCATCAGCACACAAACACATTGCTTACCTAAAGAGAGAACTTTGTATTTTTCTAGGGATACAGAATAATCTTTTGAAAGTAGCTTTAATTTTTTTCCAGGTATTTCTCAAGCCGTGTTCCCATGTGGTATCTTGTCACGAAGTTGAAGTGGAACCCCTCTCAGCAGATGATTGGGAAATACTGGTAAAGAAATATAAGAACCATCTCAGTTTAAGGTTAAATCACATCAAAATGCTACTGTCTTTGGATTGCCCTGAATTTCATTGTATCATCTGGGTTGGTTTGAATTGTAAGAATGGGCAGAGATCTAATGTATAACATGAAGACTATACTTTTAAAAACTGTATTGCATCAGGCTCATGCTAGATGAGTTTTGTTTTGTTTTGTTTTGCTGAACCAGGGATTGAACTCAGGCCCTTGCGCTTGCCAGGGAAGTAAATGAGCTTTTTTTGCCACAAAATTTTTTGAAAATTGGGTGACTGAGAGCTGGGTGAATATGTTAATTTGTTTTTTTACTATCTCTATATATCCCACATCATGGTGTGTACCTTGAACATGTGCAATATTTTATTTATTTTTATGTATTTAGGACAGAGTCCACAGGGTCTCACTGCACAGATAGGACTCGTAGTGATCCTCCTGTTTTCAGCCTCCCAAGTGCTGGAATGTGTATGCCGCCATGCCCAGTCTCAATCACCATCTCCGCATGCCCTGTCGGGGTGGGGGGGCGGCACAGCACGCAGGGGATCAAAGCCCTGTCCCTGTGTCTGCCTAAGCAAGCATTTTAAGTCTGCAGAGCTATCTAGTTAGCCCCATAATATTTATTAAAATGAAAAATCAATTGTGATTTCCTTACTAGCCATAGAAAGGACAAAATATAAAGTAAGTTGATCTTTTCTTTGTTCTAGGAGCTGCATGCCTCTTCTCTTGAACAGCATCTTCTAGATCAAATTCGAATAGTTTTTCCAAAAGCTGTTTTTCCTGTTTGGGTAGATCAACAAACTTACATATTTATCCAGATTGGTAGGTGCTGTTATATTAATGACTCTCGTACTCTACACTATCACACTGAGTCCCCAGTAGAAGTGACCTTTCACTCACAAGCTCTGTTTTCTACACAGTTGCACTCATGCCAGCTGTTACATATGGAAGGCTAGAAGCTGATACCAGACTCCTTATTCAGCCAAAGACACGCCAAGCCAAAGCAGAGACATTTACAAAGGCAGATGCATATAGAAGATCTCATAGTTATGAGGAAGACCAGAAAGGAATGACAAAAGGATTTCAAACCAAACAACTGCAGTCAAATACTGTAGCCATCACTGGGTCTAATAAAGCAGACTCAGATAACTTATCCTTGATACCAAGCTTATGGACTACAATCGGAAGCATTTTTTCTTTTGGATCTGAGAAGAAACAAGAGACTTCCTGGGGTTCAGCTGAAATCAATGCTTTCAAAAATATGCAGTCAGAGGTTGTTCCTCTGGACAATATTTTCAGAGTGTGCAAATCTCAGCCTCCTAGTGTACATAGCACACCAGCAACTTCTGTGTTTCATAGACACTGTGCTGTTCATGTATTTCCATGGGACCAGGAATATTTTGATGTGGAGCCCAGCTTTACTGTGACCTATGGAAATCTAGTTAAGCTGCTTTCTCCAAAACAACAGCAAACTAAAACAAAGCAGAAGGTCCTGTCACCAGAAAAAGAAAAGCCGATATCAGAACCACTAGATCAAAAACAGGTTAACTCAGATCATAGTCAAGAAACTGAAAAGCCCTGTGTGCTAAAGATAGTCTGGAATGGACTGGAGGAATTGAAGAATACCATGAAATACACCAAAAATATGGAAGCCCTCCATCTTGGGAAAGTTTGGGTCAGTGTGAGTTTTGTAATTTGGGGGAGACTTAGGCTGCTTATCCTTCCCCTAATTTTGAAATAGAATAATATTTTGCATGTAAATTGAAAACCATTAAGAAATACAGTGTTTTGGGGCTGGGGAGATGGCTTAGTAGAATAAGCATTTGCCTGGCAAGTGCAAGGGCCTGAGTTCAATCCCTGGTTCCACAAAAAAAAAAAAAAAAAGAAGAAGAAGAAATACAGTGTTTTAAGTTGCAAAGGGGAAGACATTTCTCCTTGCACTATGAAGTTCTTCTTTTGGTGAATATTGTATGTTTATCAAAGCAAAAAACTTATATGTATAGACCCAGAAAGGTCAAAGTTACTTGTCTGAGGTTGCATAGCTAGTTAGGAGTAGAACTAGGGTTCCTATTCAGGCAGATTGACTCTAGGAATTATGCTCAGTTTGAAGTAGCCTATAGAGCCTTGCATCTTTTTTCTTCTTCTTCTTCTTCCTCCTCCTCCTCTTCCTCTTTCTCCTCTTTCTCCTCTTCCTCCTCCTCTTTTTCTTCTCCTCTTCCTCCCTTTTCTCTTCCTCCTTCTCCTTCTCCTCCTTTTCCTTTTCCTTCTCCTTCTCCTTCTCCTTCTCCTCCTTGCTACAGGTCTCACTATGCAGCTCAGACTTGTAGCAATCCTCCTTTTTTCAGCCTCCACAGTGCTGGAGTTAGAGGCGTGTGCCACTAGGCCCAAACTTGGTCATCTGCTCAGTGCCCCTGGGGGCAGGGCCAGTGCAGCATGAGGGACCAGAGATCAAACCCCGGTCCCTACGCTTGCCAAAGCAGGCATAGTCTGCTGAGCTATCTCGCCAGTCCTGAGCCTTGCATCTTTAATACCTGCAAAAGGTTTGTTCCCAAAATTTTGAGAACATAGGAAGCATTTTTATGTACTGAGGAAAGATACCTAGGAGCAGGGAAGAACCTTTTGTTTCCTATGATGGTGCCTGGATTGGAACGTATCCTGAAACTGCTTACCCTGCTGGTAGCTGCTGTTTTAACTTGTGTATAGCAGGGAGAGGAAATTTATAGGGCATGAGTCCCTACCCCTTTATTTGAATCTAATTTTGAACCACTCTAAACTGAGACTTCATAATGATGAGAGGAACCTATTGGATGGGGGAAAAAACAAAAGGAAAGTTATCACCTTTGTAGAGTTCACTTATTATAATTTTACCTGCAGCATTTATGCAAGTAATTAAAAAATTTAATCCCTCTGAATTCTTTTGTTTTTTAAAGCCCCCATTGTTTCTGTTAGTTTTAAATCATCAGTTTATGAGATTCTACTGCATTTCTAAATTCAAATTGTCTTAACACTGACGTGATTCTGATTTAACAGTTTCTGCCACTAGACAAAAATATGCTTTTCCTCTCTTGAAATCGTGGTGGCACACGCCTGTAATCCCAGCACTCAGGAGGCTGAGGCAGGAGGATCGTTGCAAGTTCAAGACCAGCCTGGGCTACAAAGTTAGCTCAAGGCCAGCCTGAACTAGATAGCGACACCCTCCCTCAAAAAGATAAAATGACTGAAAAAAAGAAATCTTGTGGTGAGAATGAATGAAAAAGTGCTGGTGGTGAAGACCTGAGGTCAAGAGAGCAGTCGGGAGTCTGCACTTCCTGCTTTGCTTTAATGGTTGAAGGGTGACAGGCAGTGAGAAGCAGCATTCGCTGCCCTCAGCAGGCTTCACTCCAGAGACTGAAATTGCTCACTTGTGAGTAGAACTAACGATGTTGACTTAAACCTTTATCTTACACTGTGGAGTGTATAATTTTTTGTTTTGATTGGTTTTGTAATAGAAATCTTAATTTTTAAATTCATTCTCTTTTTAAAAATTATTTTAGAAACTGGAACAGGAAATTGTACATATTTCTAGGATGCCATTGATATTTTGATGAGTGTATATACATTCTGTAATGTTTAAAATTGATTAATCTTTAAGTCAGCATATACACCATAAGAGTTTTATGCCCTTGTCCACTGTGAATGCCGGTACTTGCTCTTTAGAAATTGATGTATACAGTAAAGCAAGACTAAGGTCTTTTTGTTATTGTTGTTGTTTAGATTTGTTTTGTTCTGTTTTTTGGGATAGGATTTTGCTATGTAGTTCAGGCTGACCTCTGAGCCCAGTGTAGTCTATGCAGGCCTTGAACTCAGCAATCCTCCTGCCTCAGCCTCCTAAGTGCTGGGATTACAGGTGTGTACCACCATACCTGGCAAGATTAAAGTCTTCTTTATGTCTTTCAGTGCTTTCCAGGCTTTGGGGGATGAGGACGTTTTAACATCTTTGTTGAGATAAAATTTAAAGTGTGCAGTTGGTTGTTTTTTGTAATAGTTGTGCAAACATCATCACAATCCAAATTTAGGATATATTAATCAGTGGGGGTAAGAAATTTTATCCTTTGCCTTTTAGATTAAATTTCTGCTTGGATTTAGTTGTGCGAATTGGCGGATTGTCTGTGAGTGGCTTTGACCACTCCAGTGTTGTCATGAGTTCTCAACTTTCATACATGAAAGCAGCTAAAAGATTGCAAGTAAAATTTAATGAAATGTAATTATGCCATGGTTTAAGATATGGGGGTAGAGTCAAATATATCCATATGAAGCTCTAGTTCTGAACATATGTAAAGAAATAAAAGGAAATATAGAGAGAAGAATTGAAGTATGTGTGGTATAACAATTCCTGAACTGCCGTCAAATTAGAATCTTGCCGTAGAGTGAAACTCATGTTGAAGTGCTGCCCTCAAGGTAATGGTATTAGGAGGCAAGACTTCAGGAGGCGGTTAGACTGTGAGCATGAATCCTGCAGGGATGGAATTAGCTCCCTCATGAAAGAGACCCTTCTATAAAAGAGGCTATTGGGCCGGCAAGATAGCTCAGTGGTCTGAAGCGCCTGCTTAGGCAAACTTAGGCAAGTGTGTGGGGACCACTGTATTATTCCCGGCACCACATGCCATGCCTGTTCCACCCCCAGGGTGGGCTGAGCTGGCCACAAAAAGAAAAAGAAAAAGAAAAAGAAAGAAAGAGAAAAGAAAAGAAAAGAAAAGAAAAGAAAAGAAAAAGCTTATTTATCCTTTCTACTATGTGAAAACACAGCAAGAAGGGCATCCTCATAGGAAGGACTCTGCAGAGAACCCTAATAGACACAAGATCTGTCAGGGCTCCAAGCTTAGACTCCTCAGTCTTCAGAACTCTGAGAAAGACCCTGCTGTTGTGTATAAGCTGCAGAGTTTATGGTATTTTGCTATAGCAGGCCAATCACCCTAGGAAAACTTAGCTCCTATAATTTCATCTCAATGTAGAGGCTGATAACAATATTTGTGCTGCAAGATATGTTTTAATCAAGCTTTGAACATAACTACATCCTTGAATTTTTGTTTTGTTTTTAATTTCAGATTCCAGATGACCTGAGAAAGAGACTAAATATAGAAATGCATGCAGTAGTCAGAATAACTCCAGTGGAAATTACCCCTAAAATTGCAAGATCTCTAAAATTACAACCTAGAGAGAACTTAGTGAGTGCAAATATTTATTATATCAAAATTCTCTAACATATGTAGTAAAATTTCTACTTGCTAAGTAGCAGTGTACTTTTTGTTAGTAAGGACAAAGAAGTCTTTTGTTGCTTTAAAAATATGTAACGTAAGCGTCATTTGTATCACTTTTAAGTGTACAGTCTAGTGGTATTGAGTATACATGATGTTGTACGCCCACCACCGCTTCCAAACTTCCATCACAGAAAGCTGCACTCATGTAGCAGTGAAGCAACATTATGTCTAAGAGTTTACTTATGCTAGATGCCACATATAAGTAAAATCAGAATGTTTGTATTGTTTAACCTAAGTCACTTCCTTTGTCTTTTGAAGATTCATCTCTGTGCATTATCAGAGCTTCATTCCTTTTTATGACTGGATAATGTTACTATCTATATATACATACTTATTTATTCACTCACCTGGTGGTGGACATGGGTTATTTCTCCCTTTTTGGCTGTTATGAATAATGCTGCAGTGAGTAATGATGTTTAAGTATCTGCTTGAGTTCCTATCTTTAGGTTTTTGGGATCTATAACTAGGAGTGAAATTTCTCGATCATGTGACAATTCCATATTTAATTTTTTGAAAAGTTAATAAACAATATGCATATGATATATATTGTGATATATATGGATATTTATCCAGGATAAATATGGATGGTTTTGTCTTTTAAAAGCTTGCTATTTTCTGTAGTACCCATGAAATTTAAAAAATTATTGCCGTGTTGCTTTTTGTTTTTGTTGTTAAGCTGCAAATTTCAGTTTAGTAAACTTTAGATTAAAGTAAAGTTACAGGCCCAGGAGATGGCTTAGTGGAACAAGTGCTTCCCTGGCTAGTGCAAGGGCCTGAGTTCAATCCCCAGTTTCAGAAAAAAAAATCAATAAATAAAAAATAAAGTTACAGGAAAAAATGAAATTTTCATGTATGAAACATGAGGGCCAGGAATATAGCTCAGTAGCATAAGCATGTATCTGGCAAGCACAAGGTCCCAAGTTTGATCCCCAGTACTGAAAAAAAAGAAAAAAAGAAAGAGAAATTTGTTTTTGTTTTTTTAAAAGGCTACCTTTCTTTCTTTATTTGTGTGTGTGTGTGTGTGTGTGTGTGTGGCCATCTCAGCCCACCAGGGGGCGCGGCTGGCTGGCATGTGGTGCTGGGGGATTGAACCGCGGTCCCAGTGCTTTGCTAAGCTTGTTCTAAGTAGGTGCTTTAGACCACTGAGCCATCTCACCAGCCCTAAGAAAGAGAAATTTGAATTAAGCAAGAAATGAAACCTAAGACAAATCAGTTTTCAAAGTACCTAATCAGCTAAATTAGTATTTGGAAAAGTCTTATGTGACCAGTTAAATTATGTACTCTGGGAGTTTAGTAGCATGCAGTGTACTGCATAGGAGGTAACTAAAAGTGAAGAGGGGGTAGACATCTAGAAATAGAGAAGGTGAGGAGGGAGTGGGAAAGGGCGAGAGTGGTAGTCGGATTGAAATTGATATGTTAAATACATGTAACAACTTCCCCAAATAAACCCCATTATCCCATAATAACATGTACTAATAAATAACATGTAGTAATTTTTAAAGAGTTGGCTAAAAGTGGGTTGGTCCCCTAATAAATTCTGCATTGTGTGTTGCTGTTTTACAAAAGAAAGGAGATACTTTTTATTGCTCCCAGTAAAACATCATCTGGTGGCAAGTGGCTTAGAAAAATGGATGCCATCAAGAACAAATTGATATACTTAGACAAGTGAAAAAAATGTTTTCTTGGTGTTCATACTAAAAGTATTTCTAAGACAACAATTTCCTTCTTGGTTGAAGAAGGCTTGTTTTAATAACATAGTAAGGGGCCGGGGAGATGGCTCAGTGGAATAAGCACTTCCCTAGCAAGTGCAAGGGTCTGATTTCAATCCCCAGTTCCGCCAAAAAAAAAAAAAAAAAAAAAAAAAAACCATAGTAGAAAATGAGTATTAACAGGCAGTGCGTTTTAACAAACTAATGTTGTTTTCCTATATTGTAGCCCAGCAGAGTGCTACACTACCCCCACCCCTCACCATGCCCTCCATTGTAAAGGAGAGTAAAACCAGCACCTTTGCACTGAGCTACTTCCCTAGCCTGTTTTTCATTTTGAGACAGAGTCTCACTGAGTCCCTGAGTTGTCCAGGTTGGGCGTGAACTTGGGATCCTCCTACCTCTGCCTCCCAGAGTACTGGGACTATAGGTGTGACCTCCACACCTGGTATCTCTTAGTTTTCTGTTCTGTCAATTCTTTGGAAAGTCGTATGGTAGGAAACGAAATATTTAAGTTAATTTGAAAGTATTTTGTATGTACCAGTTCTCAAATAATTGTAAAACATGAAAATTATTATTGAATTATATGTTTAAGAAACTCCAAACATGATTGAATCTTTTTCTGATAATTCAGATAAAACTTGTGAAATTTTAGGATTATGATGGTTGTTATGTTATAGGTAAACCAATTTTATAGAACTTTTCCAGTTGTTGAAATACCAGGTAGTTTATATTATTTAATTTGGGAAGCAGAAAACAAATGGGATAAATGCTATTTCACAACAGTATATAACTGAGCATTTAACTTTTTAAAACTATTTAGGGGGTGCTGGTGAGATGGCTCAGTGGTCTAAAGCACCTACTTAGAACAAGCTAAGCCAAGCAAAACACAGGGACCACGGTTCAATCCCCCAGCACCACATGCCAGCCAGCCCCACCCCCTGGTGGGCTGAGCTGGCCACACACACACACACACACACACACACACACACACAAACACACACACATACACACACTAAAATAAATAAATAAATAAATACAAAAAAAAACTATTTAGGTAAAAGTTTTTAACTTTTTTAGCTATTGAGCTTGGTATATATTAAGTGCTAGGTCCTTTATTTAAGAAAATAATGGTCATTAGAACTTTGTCTCAAAGATGTCATAGTACCACAAGAATGATTTCCTATCATGGGTTACATATTTCAATGGAAACTTTTGACTTTTTTTTCGGAACGGAGGATTGAACTCAGGCCCTTGCACTTGCCAGGCAAGCTCTTATTCTACTGAACCATCTCCCTGGCCTGAAACTTTGACTTTTGACAGGTCTCTGGTTAGGGGTTACAGTAAATCCCTTGGGATACAAAGCTGTCTCATTCTAAATCATTCTGAAGGAACTATGAGTTGCTTTGTATTCCACAAATTCTTGATTTTAAGATGCTCTCAGCTTCATTTTGCTACTTTTAAGTGTTTAATTACATTGCCCAATAATATTCTAAGAAATAACTATTTCTGTGAATTTTAAGAATGAGGAAATTACACCATTTCTTAATTACCTACTTTTAGTAGTGGTCTTGTTCGGAACTGAGCTTTGTCAGCAGATTTAAGCTTGCCTCTGGATGAAATAGACCAGTTTGAGCAATGGTAGGGTGGAGACTTATTTGGGAGAAGGGGGAGTATTAATCATCTTTTCTATATAAAGTTTTGTTATTCTCATACCTTATTTGAAATAGGTTACAAAGACTTAATTTAAAAGCTTTAAATTAGCAGGATTTTTAAAGAATGTTATATCTTTGAACAGTATATTGACACTCTACCTATTGAATACAGCTGCTGGTCAGCTTGAAAGGGAGACAAAGAAAAGAAGAAGAAAGAACAGTGGCTTAAACGTATCAGGACTTTCTCTCATGTACAGGGAGTCTGAAGGGCTCTGAGGCAGTTAAACAATGTTACCAAGGATCTAAGCTACACCAGTCTCTTTCTTCTGCTATCCTTAAGTCTGTGATTTTCCTTCTCTCAGATGCAAATATGTGTTGTACTAATAAGCATCTCATCTGCATTCCAGGAAGCAAAAGGAAAAGCACAAGGCAAGAACCTCTCCTTAGTTTCTTTACTTTGATAAAGAAGAGCACTCTTCCTGTCTGTTTTATTGGCCACACTGAGACACACACACACACACACACACACAAACAGCTCCAAAATGGCTACTGAGGATTGCTTTCCTGTGTTCCTGCTAGAGGGAAGCAAGGGGGAATGGGGTTGGAATGCAGTGCTTACTGAGTGAAGCAAATTGTAATATTTGTATTGCTAATCACAGAAAAAAAGAGCATTGAAAACTTTCCCAATTACATGTCGCGCTATATTATACTCATAGTACTAATGTCAAATCCCAAATCTGTTTATAGAGTATGAACATCTTATATTGGTTTATATTCGTAAAGTGTACATTTTATCAGATAAAGATGTTAATGTTGTCAGATATTAATTACTATTCTTTTTCTCTGGCAGCCTAAAGATACAAGTGAAGAACACATAAAAACAGCCTTCTGTTTGTGGCTACAGCAGTCTGCTACCACTGTGCTTCCTTTGTTAATATCAGAAGAAGAATTTATTAAGTTGGAGATTAAAGATGGTAAATTTGTTATTTATTTTTCCCACTGAGATAATTGTAGCATTTTAAATTGTTTTTCCAACCTATATCACATGTGAAACATAATCATTGAACATGTTTTACATATTGAAGAATGCCTTTATTTTAAATGTTTAATAGTTAAAATCTTATTTTTTTTCAGCTCAGTGTCAGCCCTAATTCTCCATTTATTACTTTCTTTTTATAGAATTGAAAGAGTTTTCTCTGCATGTAGTCCACTGGGAAAAAGAAAAACATAAAGAAAAAAATATTTTTCTGTTGAGTAGCAATCTGCTGCAGAAGACCACACTCCAAGTAATCACACACTATTAAATTTGACTAATAAAATAATATTTGTCACATGTGATTGATAGTAAAGTATAATAATGTCATTCAAAGAACTTACATCATGAAAAATAGAAACTCATATGGTAATAAGGAATAACTTGATTTAAAATATTTTATTCTATAATCATTTTACCTATATGTTATTGATTTATTCTAAATTTAAAAATCTATGTCTTAGCACAATGAATTTTTAAGAATAAGATTGATTGTGTAAAGGGCAAATGAATCAGTTCAAATTTTATTTTTGAAGCAAATGAAAACAGTTTTAGGGATTTGATTTTGAAAATTTATATTTTTATGTGCAATTTTGTTACTCTGACAATTTAATTCTCAATTCTTCACCAGTATTTTCTTCCATAGTATTGAGTGTTCTTTTTAG